TGATAGTCTGTTTAATTACCAAATAAAGTTAAAGACTTGTGAGTTAAGCAAAATTTTTTTAGTCCAAAATTATTATTTCTGAAACGCTAACAAAATCTATTGGGGAATCAAGCAGGATATTTTCTTCTCTCCCTCTGCAACCTCTTATCTTTTCTCTAAAAAAGCGGTAAAGTCAAGAAGAAAAAAGGATAGAGAAGATGCACTTAATGGGTTTCTATGTAAAAAGAGATAGAAATAACAGTTATATCTCATTTTGTCAACAGGCATAAATAGCGCATTTCAGAAACAGTTTTACAAATTTTTTTTTTTTGTTCCAACAAAACAAATTTCTTGATTATCAAAAATATTTCTCAAATATTTACAATAAAAGATAATAGTCGAATTTGTACACTAAAAAGCCTTATTTTCAGAGCGCCTCCGGTTTAAATGCTTGTTATCAGTGACAGCCTTGAGTATCTTTGCTCTGTCTAGCAAATACTTCGTCATTTCTGATAATTCATTGAAAATTCTAGCGAAAGAACAAGGCAGATCTTCTTATTTAGTAAGTGTAACTAATTTTAAAAAATTCTGAATTTTTATTTTTACTTGTATTTACAAAGATAGTTTGAATTGTTAGCTTATAATGCTTGTGAGATAAATTACAGTCATACAATTTCAAAATAAATCTTTGAATGTATAAAAAATTTGTGATTTGGTACAGTTGAAAAAAGACTATATTATCAGCATGACATAACACATTTTTTTAAATAGCAATTAACATTTTCTTGAGTTTGTTGCAGTATTTAAGCCGTTTTTTTTTTTCTACAGCCAAAGATTGTAATATGGACGAAAGATCTTCTACCGGATAAGCGATTAACACATAGAAAAGCTTCGCATTGTCCGCTGACCTGTTCTGTACACTACGATCGAAAGTAACGAGTCTAAAAATAATAAGTATACAGTAGAGTTATTTCTTGTTTTTCCACATTTTCAGCTTTTTTTCTATTCAAATTTCCTGCTGAAAAGAGGTTATATTTTTTTTTAGTGCTTCAACCTGAGATTCCTATTCTTTTTTGGTCTAGAACCTATACTGTGATTTATTTTCCCTCTCTTTGAAATATTACAAAACAAAGAAGACAGCAAAAATATTTCTTAAACATTCGTAATACTTACTGTTTCTCTTTTTCATCTCTTTTCTCGTTTACTCACTCATTTTCCTGATCTCTTACTGGCTTAATTTTTTTTTTCATTTTTTGTTTAGTCTTTGCTTTTCGGTTCTAACAGAAAGTACTTTTTGAAACATTAGCTTCACAAAATAGAAAACTATGTTGCTTATTTATTAAAACACTAAATTTCTGCTTTACGGTGGAACACCTTATTAGAACATTTATTACACAATTAGATCTAAAATTATAATTAAAATATTTTTATATTTGTCGAAAACGCTGATGCAGTAATATTTAACGCTGAATCTTGGGCATATTTGCGGATTGATCGGTTTAGCGTCCGGGATATACCACCGATTAGAAACGATGACCAACTGTATGTATTTAGAGCTGTTGAATCACCGTATCATACATTACCGCAACTTTCTTTGGTGCCACCAAATTTTTTTAACATAACTATGACTTATAGGTATGTTTATAGCTTTTTTTTTTTAACATGTACAATTTCTTTAAAGAATTCTAACCTACTGTTTTATCTGTAGATAATGTAACGACGTTGAACAATGAATTGTGGTCGTTCCGTCGTTAAAAAAAAGCGAAATCAAGATCAAAACAATTTTAATGAATTAATACAGCAGTTTTATTTATTCAGTTTTTAGATTAGATAGTGACATAGTTTACGCAGACGACAAATTTGAGGAAGACCAAACTGGTACTAGTAAGGAACAAGAACTGCTTTGGAGAGAAGTATTATTATTATTTTTTGCAAGTAGAATTTCTGTTTAAAAACTGGATAAATGAACACAAAGATTCTTTAATACTATATTTGAAAGTTTGTTTGCACAGGAGTTTTTGAAAGCTTTTGGCTAAATCTAGTAGTTGTATTTTTTTTAAAAAATAAGCGTGAGAAATGCAAGGTAGAAATTTTCATAAAATGAAGAGGCTTAAACATTACCATACTAAAATCGTATACATGCTAGTTAGCTTGGTGACTAGTTCTTAATAAACAAAACTTTTATTTATTACTCACTGTAAAATATACTTTAAGCAGTAGCTTTACCGTAACTTTTTCACTTTAGCATTTTTCTGTGGTGTTTTTGTTCTCTGTTCAAATTGTTAGATACTAAAATAATTTTCGTCTTCAGAAAATTAATTTCTATTGCAGTTAATCATAGATGAATTTCCGGTATCTTTTTGACCAATTTAAATAAGCAATAATAAACTTATGCTAACTGTAACATATCGCTCAGTAATGAATGTACTTGACATATTCAAGGTAACAAAAGCGTTGTCTCGAAAAACTGAATCAGTGCTCGAAATTAGTGACATCTGTGAAACAGTAACTGGTTCAGAAACGTATAAATACGTTCTAAAGAATTACATAAATGTTACTGAAATGGGCAACTGCTTTGGTTACAAGTGCAACTCAAGTTGTGAAGAAGATTACTATGGTAACGGTTAAAATTTTTGTGCTAAA